GTGCTGTACAAAGGAGTCGGTGCAGAGGCTGTGCCTGCTGCTGGTGGTTCCCCCGAAAAGTTAAGCTTGGCCCTCCTCTGCTTTCCGCCGGCTTGGCTCCGTCCTTGTCGTCTGCTCTCCTCTCTCCCCCCGTTAAAAATAAAAATAAAATAAACGAAAATTCCCTCTAAAAACTGTCAGGAGCTGCACCCGGAACGCCAACCTGAGTTATCCCTCTCAACTTGCCGAAGGAAAATTTAATCAACGCAGGCCGTGGCATGAGATTATTTGCGTGTTTTATGGGTCCTTCAGGAAAGGTGCAGGACTAGGGGGAGTGGTCTCGGCAAGAAAGCCATGCAGAGTTAAATGTGAATAAGATGTTAGATAGCTTTCCACGCTGTTTTTCCAGAGCTAAATCAAAAACTATCAAAACTATTCCAAATATTTTTACTGTTTCTTATATGTAGTTTGATAGTACAGCCTTACTTCCCTCAATACAGCTATTGTCTTACCCAAAGACACCAAATATGTTTCAGTGAGTGTTCACTAGAGCAAAATTCCATTTTTACCATACTGTTCATTTTTTATAATGAACAGTACCAATGAGCAATGATGTGGGGAAAGGCCAGCACCTCACTCAAGCTGAGCTGCCTACCAGTAAGTATCCTTCAGATACCAGGAAGAACCTAAAGGCACGGGCACAGCTTTGCCTGGACAGAAATAACCTCATTCTAAGCCATTCACGTTTCAGAAAATTATGAGCAAATTTAAAACAGTCCATTAGAAAACATGCAGGATAGCTAAGCTCTTTGTATCACCACCCATTACCATCCGTAATATCAGAACAAGGAAGTGGCCTGACTGATAAAACTGAAAGCCGGTAATATTTGATTGTCAAGATTGAAGAGATCTCTTAGAGGACAAGGCAGCTGGCGAACATGTCAGGCAGGTGAAAGTCAATGTGGGCAGATACAAATGAGAACACATCGGAAAGAATAATCTGAACTACGTGTACGTGAAGTACATCTATTTCAGTATCCGTTCTTAAGCAGGAAAAGAATCTAAATGTTTTGGAATATGATGATGTTAGATCGCTGCGCGATAAGCGAGTTTGGGTCTGGACAGTACTGCAATTTTAAAGGAATACAGAAACGTTAGACCGCTGGCTTTTTGTTTGTTTGTTTGCTCCTTGGCATGGTTCAGTTTTGCTTGCCACATTTAGAAAGCCAAACATAGCAAAACACTAGCATCACAGGGACTGCATTTCTGTACAAAGAGCAAAATAAGCTTTACGGTTCGGAAAAGCAAAGGGATGGTATGCCAGGAAAAAAAAAAAAAAAACACTCGTTTTAATGAGTCCGTCAGCAGGGCTTCCTTATATCATCTATATAGATAAGTACTCATTCTGTGCCAGCTAAAAGTATTACTGCCCTTAGGGCTTTTTCTAATCAATTTTGGGCAGTCTGCCACTTTACGTGTAGGCAGCTTGTCTTTAATTAACCTCACCTTGACTGAAGTGACTTGGGGGCCTCCCACATCACAGCTCCTCGGAGGGAGCTGCTGGGGGCCATTCCCCAGAGCTTTACTCGCCCTACAGGGTAGTACACGTGGGACTGAAAGGGCAGCAAGCGCCAAGAAATCAATTAACAGCCAGAGCACGTCAATGCGCACAGCGCTTATGGTGCTTCCTTTAGAAAGCACATTAATAGGTGTGACAGCAAGTGAATTTTGCCCTGTGTTTTCCGGTGACTCTGAAGATGACAGCCCTAAAGCACAGTGCACTGGCAATGTAATCTCAAAGTGACAAAGGCATTCACAGAGAGTGTGAGAGCCCCCTCCAAACAGGTATGTCTGGAAAACACAACGTACTGCCAGCTTTGGAAAGTGCTGTACCAAGGGAATGTAGGATTTTGGTTTCGATGATTGCCTCACAAGCCTCTGCACTGTACAGAGAATTTGCCTCTTGGTTTTGGGGTCTGATTTCAGTTTTCCTTTTGTCTTCCCCTGCACTGATAATCCCAGTTCCTAATCATCTCCATAACAGGGTATTAGAGCGTTCTGGCCTTCTAATTAACTGGTAAAATTTAGTCTGGAGTACTCTGGCAAATGGTGTAATAGAATTCACAAACACACACCACAGACTCCAAGGGGAAGATGTCACCCGTTGCCGTCCTATGTAGTGGGAGGCTGTGA